CCCCCCCCTTCCAAATAGCTTTCCCCCTAACACTCACCCATCCGTCCTCCCCCTCCCCCTTCTCCCAGCTACCGTTCCTCCCCCCCCCCTCCCTACCTTCTACCCTCCCCCCCTCCTCCAACGACCTCCCATCCTCCCCCTCTCCCTCCCACCACCCCATCCCCCTCTCCTCCTCCTCCCCTTCCCCCTTCCTACCACGCCATCCTCCCCCTGCCCTAACCCCCCCCCCCCCTTTTCCTGTCAACACCACTAGATGATACAAGGAGAGAATGAATACACCCCCCCCTCCTCTACCCCTACCCCCCCATGAGCCAAGATGTCGGCGAGGAAATGACTCATCTCTACGTCTCCTGTCTTGACCTCGAGATTAAAGACCTTAACTGATGTCTTAAAGAAAGATAAATAGGTAGATGGATGAATAGATAGACTGATAGGTAGACAGATGAAATGATAAATAAATAGATAGATAGACAGACAATTAGATGGACAGATAAATAGATAGAGAGATTGATAGATAGATAGACAGACAATTAGATGGACAAATAAATAGATAGAGAGATTGATAGATAGATAGACAGTCAGGCGGATAGACAAATAGAGAGAAAATTAGTTAGGTAAACTGGGGGACAGTTGAGTAGACAGGTGGATCGACATATAAATATGATATATGTTTATGATATAATTAGATAGTCAGGTAGGTAGGTCGATAGACAGACAGCGAAAACGGATAGACAGGTGGATAGGTAGATGGACAAGAAACTACCTAAATACATGGATAACTGGATGGATAAGGAGTAGACAGATTTCTAGATAGGTAGATTGACGAATTAACTAGACAGATAGATAGGAAGTGGACAGATGGCTAGATAGGTAGAATGACAAGGCAGTCAGACAAATAGATAGGATAGAAAGATGGCTAGACAGATAGACTGATAAGGTAGGTAGACAGATAGATAAGAAGTAGGCAGATGGCTAGATAGGTAGATTGACAAAGTGGCTAGACAGATAGATAGGACAGACAGATGGCTAGATAGACAGATTGACAAGGTAGGTAGATAGATAGACAGGATATAGACAGATGGTTAGATAGATAGACTGACAAGATAGGTAGACACATAGAAAGGAGACAGACAGATGGCTAGCTAGGCAAATTGACAAGGTGACTAGACATATAGATAGAAAGTAAACATATGGCTAGATAGGTAGATTGACAGGGTGGGTAGATAAATAAGCAGAAGTTCCTCGACATTTCACAATCGACCGTCGAATGCGCCCGAGGAAGCCGAGTGAACACTTTGATTATCCGCGGCGAAAAGGCCTAACATGACGCCAGTGTAACGGGGTATGTTGAAACAGACCATTATATCCCGCAGAGGAAATTAACCTCTATGTTACCCTGTCGTAAATGGCTTAATTAGACGGATAGATGGAATGCGTTGGTGCCCGTCTTGAGGAGCGTGATAAGGACTCTTGACAGAATAATTACTGTAGGTTTTGTCATCGTTGAGGCTGTGGTGGTGACGCCATTAACCAGGGGCGAGTGGGAGCGGTTTGGTATCCATCATCGAATCCCAAAATATCTCTTGAATATGATACTGATATTGACTTATTTGCTTTATTAATCTTTTTTGTTATTTTTTAATCTGTTTGTATATTATTTTGATTTTATTTATGTGCCATTTTGACTGGCGGTAATATTTATGTATGCGTCATTTTGAGTGGCGGTAATATCCTTTGCGTTACTTTAGTAAAAAGGTAGACTTTATATGATTTAAATTCGAATTAAATTGTACTAAACGCAAATTGGTGAGCATGAGTACAACAGCTGTGAGAGGAATATCATTTCGACACATTTTTGGCAACGAAATCGTCTAATTTCACAGAATCAAGAGAACTGGAAATGAGATTGCAATAAACCAGATTAATTTGATATCTAATTAAGGAAATATATCATATCACTCGACGTTAACTGCCAGTATAATAATCTAATGACTTCCACTGTAAAGGAATGACACAGTGTTCCAGATCTCAGCCAAGCAATCGTGTACCGCCGAAGCCTCTGTTTTGCGAATGCACGCATGCTCGAGGGCGTGCGTGCATTCGAGCAAGCACACGCACACCACGATCACTTGCTCGACCGAACCCGGAGACCCAGTATTCGGGATGTCGACGGAGAATCACGGAGCGCACCCGGGAGGAGGGGAAGGGGAGGGGGAGGGGAAGAGGGAGAGGGAGAGGAGGGGGAGGGGGAGGGGAGAGGGGAAAAGGAGGGGGAAGGGAAGAGGGAGAGGGAGGGGGAGGGGGAGGTAAGAGGAAGTTAAGGGGGGTGGAAGCGGGTATGAGATAGAAGGGGAGGGGGGAGGGGGAGAGGGAGAGGAGGAGGAGGGGAAGAGTTAGAGGAAGAGGGAGAGGGAGAGGAGGAGCGAGAGGGAGAGGGAGGGGAGGGGGAGGGGGAGTTAAGGGAGATAGGGATGGAAGGGGGTATGAGATGGGAGGGGAA